ATATATATATTAGTTATAAAAGCTTTTGGCTTCTTCAATGATGATTTTAATTGCCGTATCTATATAATTATGTTTTCCTTACTTTGAATAAATTTCCGCTATAAATTCTGAATCAATACGCATATTGGCTGTTTCTTTTTAAAAGGGAAAAAAATGTACTCTTTCAAGACCTTTTTATAAATTTAAGTAAATGGGTTATTTTGTTAGAGTAGTAGTGTTACTGATTTAGTTTTTCTTTTTTATTTAAGACCACCGCTAATTTAACTTTTATAACATTAAGTAAGTTTTTTTTAATATGTGGTAATTAAATTAGGTAACAAAGGAATAGAGGTGAAAAAATAGGCTGACTCATTGACTGGACTACCAATTTACCGGACCAAATAGCTAGTTGAAGCGAATTGACTTATTAATCTATTTAAATAAATTTATTATTTTTTATTTATTTTATAACTTTTTATGCTGTTTTATTATTGAAAGATTATTAGTATTTGTGTTATAGTTCTTAAAAATTATTATAATTTTGTGCTGTTAAAAGATTAATTAATAATAATAATCTTGATTGAAAGAGAAAGCTTTTTAATGATTTATAATTTATTATTTATGTTTTCATCTTAAAGTTGAATGATCATTTATGTCATAGATTCTTTAATTAAATTTGTTAATTACTATAGAAAAAATTAATTTATCTATTTGAGTTAATGATGAAAAAAAGATAGGTCACTCTCTAAGTCAGACAGACCAAGATTTAGATCATCTTGCTCTGTCTCATTTTTGGCAAATCGTTGATAGAACGAACCCAAACAAAGTGAATGAAGTCGTTTTACCACCTCTATTAAAAAAAATTACAACAACTCATTCATACTTTATTCAACTAACTAGGCTATACCCTTTTAATATAACATTAGGAACTAGTTGTTGAATACAATAAAGTGGTCAAAATTATTTATCTCTATAAAAGAAAATATTCAAGAAGCTTATGTACGTATTACCATATTCCAATTTCATCATTCATTCGAGTAATGTATATTATTTTACAATTTTTTATTTTAATTTTCTAATACTTTATAATAAAATATTAAACACAAATAAATAAATTTAATATCTAGAAAATATATAAAATAATATGCTCTTCATTTACCAATTATAAAATTTAATATATAGTTATTATAAAATGATTTAAAATTGATTATTTTACAAATAGTACGCTATAATTTATTTTGTTAGAGAAAGCTTTTCCTTTGGTTTATATATGTAGAATTATAATTATCATAATACTCTTTTAATGTAAACTTTATTAATGTACTATGTGCCCGTTTGTATTCGCATCTTTGATCCACATTTTCACGAATTTGACGCAGAAACAAAAAATAATATAATTTCTTATTTCCACGTTTTTTACAAGAGTTAAGTGATGTGAATGTGAAACCAACCACACACTATAACTTGTACATAATTCTCTCATTTGGACACATTTTTCACTGTATACGTGCGTATTGAATTTGTTTCCAAACAATCCTATATTGGTTGCTGAAAAGTGAAAACGCTAGTAACACCCATAGCTCTAATCTAATATAATTTTTATTTTTGCCCTCCTTGAAAAGGGATGGCCTCTCGGTGGAGTGTGGTAGTCATGTTTAGGAAGTAGTGTACGAACGTGCATACTTTATTTATAGACTTGCCTAAAATATATAGTTACAATTTTGTTAAAAAATTAATAATTGAGATTATTATAGATCAAGTATAAGTAAATTTGTAATAAATCGTGTAATTATAAAATATATTTTTACTGGTTTTCTAATCAATAGTTAGAAATTTCCACATTATCATTTAAAATTTACAGGCATCTGGTTTTTTTTTTTTAGAGAGATTCATGATTTAATTCCATTTACAATTTATGTTGTACATTGTAATTTGCTTAGGTCTGATTTTGGTGGGAATCACTATTTAGTGTTGGAGTGAGATTTGTGCTTGGCTTTGCTTGATTTGAGGATAAAATGATAAATAGAATAAGAAGAAAGAGACATCAAGGATTTGGAGAAAATAAGGAAGGTGACAAACCTTAAAATATGGTAATTGTTGCCAAATTTTTTTTTTTAATAAAAAAAAGTCCACTTTGCCAAATTTTGGTGTAATATACGTTTTTCGTGTCACATAGCCAAATGAATAAGAAGCTAAACCTTTATCAGAAAAAAAAGGCTAACTTGATGATTGACATTAAATTCGTCAGGCACTAATCACTAATGTAAAGTGAGAGAAGGTTGATTTGTTGAAAATAAACATTATTTTATTTTTTAAAACTTTGTGTGTGGTACGAATTAATGAATATGATCCTTGGTTGGTTCCCCCGAGTTGAACGAATCTTGCGCAGGAATCTTTATTTGATGATGATCTTAGGCTTTGTTTGGATTTGAAGATGGAAAAGGAGG